GGAAACAAAACTTCAAGAACACGGCCACACAGCCCGGAAGACTTAAACAAAGTATGTTAAGCATACACATCATTGCAAACATTCTCTAATCAGACTTACAGGTGTTCCAGGGGCCACCCTAGACACTATGACAGGCATCTTCTGGTCATATCCACCCTTTGAAAGAAAGATAAATAATGAAAAGATATAAAGAACTGAAAGTATTCAAGTAATCAAAGATATGACAGGAAGTTTTAATACCTTTACATTGAAACCAAATCTGCCATTTTCATCAGGTCTTATTCTAATCAGAACAAGATTGTCATGAGGAATCCCACCATTTGGCTGAAAATGAAAACAAAACATTGTTTATACTTACACCAACTTCCATTAAAGAGCCACAGCTAAATTAAAAAAAAAAGATCTATAATTTCTCTTTACTAAACTCATTATTTCCCCTTCTAATGATCAGAGCTCAATTGTTTTTCATGAAGGTTTGGTCATATAAGCAGAAAATTACACAGGGAAGATAGAAAGAGAACGTGTAATCTGGTTTTAAATATAGTAGGCTCCAGTGGAAAACAAACCAGCAAACTTAGGTTGAGCCTGTCTGCTTCTCAGAGTCCTTCAACTTTCTGAAACAGATTAAGGATATGTAGAAAGGAAGGAGAATCTTTTCCTCTGGCAGACAGACATGGCCAAATATTCAAAAACAAGGATCCAGTATTTGGGATGTAAGACAAGTGCCTATAGATTCTAGTTTATTGTAGTATCCCATTGCTAGGGGAAAACAGTGTGCAGGAACAGCAATATGTAGCTAATACAATATTAATATAAAAGTATCATTTAATAGATTTATAAATTACAGTAATTTAAATCAACATACACAAGCCCTATAGTTATTAATTTGTTTAAATCAAACAAGTTTGAAAGAGAACCTTACAGTAGATTTTTCAGGAGATGAGGAAGAATCATCATATGTTTCATTTATATGGTTATCCAATTCTAGCTGTGAATGTGAATAATGAATTTGGTTCCAACTATTCTTTTTAGATTGTTTAGGTGGCAGTGCAGGTGGTTGGCCATCTATAGGGGTTTCTTGAGATCTATATATAACATGAAAAAATAAAAAGATGTTTTGAAAGTTTATTTGCATGTTAAAAAGAATGCATCTCTACGACAACTTCAGAACAATATAGTGTGTGAATTATAGTACAAGTCCGCAGCAATCAACATAAATAACCAATAGAACAGAAGATAGTATCTAAAAATAACATGAGTAGAAGCTGCTTAGGGGAAAAAAAGCTTTCCTATTTACTTCTGTCCACTGCAGCCCACTGCATCTTTGAGAAGTTCTTCTCAAGATTGCAAGGGACCCAAGTAGGATTGCACATATGGCATAAGGCATTGCAGTGGGAAGAAACCAGGTAGATGTAGTTTACACAACAACTGTAATTTCTGCATAGAAGTTGTCTAAATCTAGGCCAGCCTTTCAGTGAAGAGACTCATTTTTGTATTTTTACATATTGTTTATATTCATGATTTCAGTTAAAAATTAGGAAAAAATGGAATGCAATAAAATGTTATTTTGTGCTCAGATTCTTAGCCTGTCATACTCTGTTTCATTTCCCTCCACCTCAGTTTCCCAATCCAGTCAGTTTTCCACTCCCACTTAATATGTATAGTTCTCCCTAGATTACAGATTCTTCCCTTTGTGCTTTTATTTTGGTTTATGTGTAAAGGTGTGTATGCCTATACTTCTGAGGCTTCCCAGAACATAGTAATACTCTTGTAATAGATGATTTTTCCTAAGTATGGACAGGCATACACACTGAGACTGAGTTCATTATTACATATAGGATGATTTCATAATACAGTTATTTCTAGAAAGTGTTCCCCCCCTTTTTAAAAAACAACAATGTATTTTCACTAAGAAATAGTATTTTAATTAATCTTCCTAAATTAAAAACTTACAATTAAAATTAGGGACAACCTAGGATTAGATCTCAGAAATACCTTCTTTTGATCCTTTTTTTTTTTTTTTTTTTAAAGAACTATCCTATATACATATTAGAGAAGGAATTTTGTTTTAAAAGGTTAACTCTGTTACTTTTGGCTGGTGTGGGTCTTCTGGGCTGTGTGGCCGTGTTCTTGAAGTTTGAAAGAAAGTTTGAAAGAAAAAACCCTGCCTAATCCCCAGGAAGATACACACAGATGCTGACACCAAAACAAGCAGCCACTCAGTAACTCAACCCCCCACACACATCCCCAATCCCCCCCTTCCCCCCCCCGATCTCTATAAATACCCACAAAAGGGGCACATCAATCTGGGCACAGAGAGAACTGCTCCTGTCTGTGCTCCTGCACTCTGAAGATGCCGGTCACAGGTGCTGGCGAAACGTTAGGAAACAAAACTTCAAGAACACGGCCACACAACCCGGAAGACCCACACCAGCCATCATATGCCGGCCGTGAAAGCCTTCGACAATACATCTGTTACTTTTATTTGGCCATATATTCTACTATAGGGTTTCTAGTGATATTCTTAAGCAAGCATCCAGTTTGTCATGTGCTTGCATGACAAAGAATGACTGACTTTCATTTCATTAGGAAAACGCCTGGGTTCCCTCTCTGGCATTTTCCAAAGGGGGAGGGCATTTATGTTGTTTGTGGCAATCTCAAATTAAATGATAGACAAGTTGTTTCCAGCTATGTCCATGAGGAATCAGAAGGGGAAGTAGAGATAGTTAAACCATAAACTAGGAATGATGAATTATCCAAACACACCTAAATCTGCCCTTACTGAAATCCAAATGCACTAGTAGAAATCTTTATGAAGTGTCTTGTGAAAAACAGTGTTCAAAGTTGGCCTGATAATATACTATTATTTTATAATTTGACAAGTCTGTACAGTAGTTCATCTATAGTTTACACAAGTTTCTAGACATTCATGCATCTAAAGTCCTAATGACAATTCATTTATTCACACTGCAAAACTGATAATTTCTATACAAATCTCATAACATATTCAACTAAAAATAATTGCAGTTGTCACTGACTCACTTTCAAACTCATTTAAATTAGCATGTTTGTGAATTTATTATTCTCCTATAGAAATGCAAGATACAAATTATTTCACATATTACTAATGATTCTCCTCCAATGTACCAATCAGTATGTATTACTTAGCAACTCTTCTTCCCAATTTTAATTTGTTAACTGATTAAATCCTGACATTACATTTCTGTTACATAATATTCACAACACTATTCATGTTTAAATTCATTATTTTTCAAATGTGACAAGGTAATCAAAGTTTTCAACATACACGCATGTACCCAAAACTGGATTAGTTAATATAATGCTAAGGTTCCAAGTGTAATTCACTGTAATGCATTACCATAATAAATTGTGAGGACTAAGAATAAACTAGGCAAAAAACCTTCCTAATTTTATATTTGCCCAGTCAGCTTTTAATTTCCTTATGAATGTTTAAAACAAAGAATGTTTAAGTGGACTATTTTGAGTCAAAGTAGCTCTTTGTATTGTTTCATTCAGCGATGTGCATAATCAAATAAAAAATGAAAACATCCTATTCAGGTAAGTTCTATGACACATAGATCTGATACTATATCTTTGAATGTTAACCTATCTCTCAAGTACAAATAATGTGTTAGTATAATAATATGGATTGTATTAATTTTTTCTATCACTTTCTTAACAGGTTAAATCTATGGTATTCCGACACACTAATACTGAGACATGACACACTTTCTTCAAGGGGAAAATGAGAAACCATTTCTAATTGTTATTTAACATGTATTTAATAATGGATATGGATATTTGACCACACTATTTTACACTCTTAAAAATAATTACAGAACTATAAGGTAGATAAATATTATCTCCTACTGTACATTACAAATGGAGGGGTGGTATGGTTGCTAGATTGCTTATATGAAGCTATCTGATAAATTTATGAGATTTGAAGCATGGTTCTTCTCAGTTATTATACTATATATTTATATTGTATCTGAAATGAAATCCCTTATGCTACACCTGTTTTTGCTTACAAAGCAATAATTAAATATAAAAATGAGATCTGCCAACCTTATAGCTTATATGGAAGAAATTAAGGACAGACTATATGTTATAGCAGCACAAAATGTCTTTGCAGGATTACAAAAATCAAACTTACGGTGATGATTCTAGAATTATACTATTGGCCTGTGTAGAAGAAGGCGACCGATGATTTGCAAATACCTCACTGGGTGAAGTATGGACTACATGGTCTACTAAATGTCCAACTGAAGATGGCCGTAAACGGTTTCCCTCTTGAGTAAATGTGGAGTTGCGACTAAGCATGGAAAGAACAGTTATTCATTAATGGTAAACCTATTAGTAAAGATTTGTAAGTTCTGTGCTTTTAAATTGCTTTAACAGTATTTCTAAGAAATAGCAAATCAGTTTCTATAAATTCTATTGTCTGCACTTCTAAATGCATGCTTTCAACAATTCTTTCTGACTGGATATGTTCTCCATCAGTGTGAAAAGTAGTCAATTAGTAGTAATACAACAAAGTTCGTAAAAAATAGGATATTAGAAGTCAGTAAGACATTTGCAACCACAGTACTGAAGGCAATCACTAACCCTGACTGACATCTATATAAATGATATATGTAAAGCATGCATCAATGGATAAGGGACTAACATGAATCCTAAACTGTTACAAGTCCTAATATTATAGCCATTGCTAGTATCAATAAAGCTAATATAAATATTCATTATACTATTTTCTCTTCTGAAGGATTTCTGCAAGTCAAGTACAAATCAAGGTAACATGCCAAAAAGCACTGAGACAGGCAATTCTTTTTTATATACTGTATATAACCTGGCCTCCTTCCTTTTCATGTAACTTGCCACAAAAAGGGGAAGCTGAGAAATAGCCACACAAAGAATAAAGAGGACCTCCCTGATTGTGGTTTAGCTTATACAGGAAGCAAAATGAATTACCTTTATAGTTAGGTAATGAGTATTTGTGCACAGAGTTCTGAGCTCAGAAACACGGTCTTCTGCACAGTTTGATCCTTTAAGATTCACTATTTATGTAACTAAATTATAGAAGACTGGAAGTTCCATTTGAACAGAAACAGAAACCTGGCTAGATATAATGTTAAAACTATAGTTCAGTTATGTAAATGGCCTGGATAAACTATAGGTTCATGTATCGCTTTTCTTCTTGTATCACTATGAGAGAAATTTGGAAACATCCACTTCCTAGTTTAAATGAAACAGTTTGCCATGGTTAGCTTAATCTACTGCTTATTTAAACAAGTTAGAAACAAACAATCTCACTTTCCTGTTCACTTTCTCGTTTCCAATTTTCTGCTCCTCACAGCATGCTAGAGGGGATAAGCCTATGTAACCTAAAGTAAACCCAGATTATCCACACTGTGTTAAATTATGCTGTAATATAATTTTCAAGCAAAGCCACAATGTAACCAAGAAATTAAAGGCATAAACTATATGTTGTTCAAAACAGAACACACTGATTTAAGATTAATTTCATTTTATCAAAATAAGTAATATGACTTGAATGAAGCAAATATAATCAAATTCTATTTCTAGATGCACTTACTTGGGAGTAAGCGCATTAAATACAATGAAACGCACTTGATACAGGAGACATTACACAACTATTCTGTACAACACATAGAAAATTCTTTAAAAAAGGATTTAGATATAATTAAGATTAGATATTATACACATAATATTAAAGGCAACTTTAACTTCATCCTTAATGACGCTGTAGTTCTCTTTATACAGTGGGGCACAAAAGTATTTAGTCAGCCACCAATTGTGCAAGTTCTCCCACTTAAA